CTTGCCACGGGCCTTCCCATCTAGTATATATATATATTACTCTTCTTTTATCTTCTTCTTTTCTTCTTTTATATAAGCCAACAAGCAGTGTACGAACACTGCAATTAATAGTTGTACAAAAAGTAACATGTCTTGTACTATAAATTGACAATCTGCTTAACACGTGTATTGCTCTTAATATGTAGCTCTTTATTTTTCTTTTTAAAGGTTACACGTGTTGGGGTTATTTGCCCTGATTTCTTACCATAAATATGTTTTCCTTTTAGGAAAATGTTTTAATATTTTAACTAGTCCTTTTCTTGTAGGAAAGGTTTAGGACTCTATAAATATAGGCTTGTTCCTTCTAACTTAATTAGCATTCACAATGTAGTCTTAAGGGCTTTGAGAGTTTTGGTTAGGGGGAGAATTTGTGGGTCACAAGCTTGATACGTTATCACTTGTGTGAACCTCCCATGTATTCCGAGTGAATTGGTTGAGGTTGTTTCTCTCTATATTTTATACTCTCATATTTATAGTGGATTGCTCATCTCCTTTGTGGACGTAAGTCGATTGACCGAACCACGTTAAATATGTCTCTTTTGATGTGTTTCTAGTTTGTCTTCTTACTCGTGGTCTTTCGAGGTTTGCTTTGCTAGCTTCCGCGTTACACCTGCTTATTTTTTCCTAACAAGTGGTATCAAAGCCATAGTTCAATGATGAAACCATGTTAAAGATGGGTGTTTATCTTGGTGGGTGTAGTTCTAGTCGCAACCTTTTTTGACAGCAATGAAGATTTTGTTGGAGAAATTGTTTCAGAGAGGTTCTCTGTGTCGAGACGTAGATTTGATGGAGGAGATTATGGAGAAGAGATGCAAGATCCTAAAGATTATGTGAAGAAGGTGGACAAATTTATTTTGTCAGAAATTCAGGCCAAGGGGGAGATTTGTTGGGGTTATTTGCCCTGATTTCTTACCATAAATATGTTTTCCTTTTAGGAAAATGTTTTAATATTTTAACTAGTCCTTTTCTTGTAGGAAAGGCTCAGGACTCTATAAATAGGCTATTGCCCATGTTCCAGCCAAAGGCCCATGGCCTAATCCTATTTGAAAAAGGATTGGAATTATTCTCTTTATTTGGTTTCCAATTCTATTAGGAAAAGGATTGGAATAGTAATCCTATTTGGAGTTGGTTTTGGCTTTGTAAGGAAAAGCACAACTCTATAAATAGAGGATGGTCTTAAGAGAATAATTCAGATTGCTCATTAGTATTGTCTTTGAAAGACATTAGGACATAAGAGAGGTTTTTTGGGAGAGCTTTCAACAAGAGAGAAAAGAAAAGAAAAAGGGTTCTTTTGCTGCAGTCTTTTATTCCGACCACCAACCTTCAGATTGTGTTTTTCGATTAACTAACCGTTGGATCGGGCTGAAATTTGTACTGAGTGTTCCTGACATCTTGGTGGTTGATTTGAACGGTGAAGATCGGATTCGGAAGTCAGCAAGATCCTGATTTAGGTCCCGAACAGCAGCTAGGTTTGGGTGGTGTTTCTTTCTATTTATCTTTTGTTGGTGTAGCTATTGTTTGTTCTCTTTTGGCACTTGTTGTGTAGCCATTAGAAGAATAATTGTAACTCTCTTATTGTTATAGTGAAGCAATTCGGATCTTGTCGATCCCGTGGTGGTTACCTTCGTTTTGAAGGATTTTTTCCACGTTAAACTTGGTGTTCTTTATTTTAGATTTTCGTTTTCATCTTTTCGTCACAACAACACGTGCTTCCTTTGATATATTTGCTTTCTTTTTACTTCAATTTTCACTTCTTCCTCCCTCTGCTTCACTTGGTGATTCTTTCTATTTCTCTTTGTTTCTTTCCTTCATCACTTTTAATTTTCAATTTTTCATCTCTCTTTTGTTTTGTTTGCAGAATAATTTGTATGTTATTTTTGGATTTTTAGTCGTCGTTCGTGCTTTGCTCTGGATTATGACCAACAAGGTAAGCTTTCTGGTTTTGGATTGTTGTCTGCCTCTTTTGATATCTTATCTTAGACGATATTATTCAAATGTGAGATCTAAGAGGATTGTAATAGCTTTTGTTTTGTGGAATATTTTCCCTTCTCCTTCTTCATGCTGGACCTAATAGGAAATAAAATTAATTTGAAGGCTGCTGTAAAAAAATTTATGCATTTGGCTCTTTGTTAGTTATTTTGCACATGCATGTACTCATCCAATATTTTGTGTCAATGTTGTAGCTGTCGATGGTATTAAGAAGAATATAATGAATAGAGAAAGCTGTGAAAAAAGTTTTCAAAGGTTTATGTCCTGTCAAATTTTTTAGTCGGCCTTTTAACTAATTACTTGTGATCTTACAATGATGTTGGTTGGTATGTCGATTGGTTCTAATTTTAGAGATTTTACTGAAAAAAAGATTGGGCAAGCCGTAGCGGTATCGAAGCTGATGGAAGTCGTGGTACATCATTCAAATTTTTTCGTGTGAAAACACTATTATTTTTTTCTCTCTCACCGATTCAATCAAACTATCTGTACATTTTTCAGTGAGGGAAAATAGTAACTTTAGTAGTGATTTTATCCAAAGAAGTTCCTTTTGAGCATTTAGTTGGGTATTTGTGTGATAGATATATAAGCATATATCTGAAATTATAGTTGGAAGAACGATCAACTTATATATTTTTACCTAATTTGGTGATGGCTGGATTAAGTTTTGATTGATTGTTTTAAGCTAATTGTGATTTCATTGATAAAAAGTTTGTGATAAAATAAATTGAAAGCAAAAAACCTTACTACATTGGCGTCTACTATTTTTTAAACCTTACATTATGTTAATTACTAGATCATCATCTCATTTCACATGTTTATAGCTTTACAGTGTCATATTTGATATACTTGTTTACTCATGGAGGCACCTTTGATATACATGTTTACTCATGGAGGCACCTTTGTACCCAACACTCAGCAAATAGAAAAATTAGGTCTGCCACTAATTTAGGACTTTTTGAATCCTCAGGTGAATGGTGCAACTACAAAGGAGACTGTGTTAAGATTGTATGTATTTCTCTCGATTGCAGTGATGTCTCTGCTTGATTGTAAAGAAGGAGAATGAGCATATAATCAAAGTTTCAAGATCTAAAAAAAGAATATGTATAAGTGACATAGATACGTTGAGAGTGATTAGCAAGGTAATTGAAGGAGCCAGAAGCGACCACATAGGAAATTTTGAGTGTCTGCCAAGTACTATTCAATAGCACTACAAGAGGAAGAGAGAAGATCGCTTCAATGCGCTCCCCAACGAATGAGGCTACGTATATAAACAAAGGTTCCATGCTCTGACGATTTCAATTTGGCATTTTATAAATAAAAAAATGCTTGGCCTATTATGTAGGAGGCTTGCTAGGCTCTCAATCACTTTCATCAAACTATTAGACAAGTTCTTATGTCATATAGCAATTTTATTTGTTCAATTCACTTTTGGAAAATGAGGTATCTGCAGAACAAAAGACAATTCACGAGTGGCTTACCGTAACTTCTTCTAGGAATGCAAAATGGTGGTGTTCGACATTTCACAATATTACAGCTATGGTTGGAACCGGTGTCCTCAATCTTCCTTATGCTATGTCTCACCTTGGATGGTACGTGTTAGTTTATAGAGATTATATGTCCATAGAAAGTGTAACTTGGGGCTTCTGTTGTGAAATATCATTTATTTTGGATGTAAATCAATTTTACGGGACCTGGTGTGATGTAACAGTGCTGGTGAATATCTTGGATTATAACTTTGTACACTTTATGTCAAATAATTGAGATGCACAAAATGGTTCCAGTAAAACGCTTCTATATATATCATGAGTTGGGCAGTATGCTTTTGGGAAAAGCTTGGGTTATGGGGGTGCCCCAACAGGTAATTGTCGAAGTTGGCATTGACATTGTTTACTTGACGACTGGGTAAAATCACTCAAGAAGGTCGATTATTTAGTGTGCATACAAGATTGCACAAATATGACTATTTTGTGCTCTCTCATTTTTCCAACTTAGATTCTCTATTCGGTATGTCTTTGATGGCTGTTGTCATGTCCTTAAAGGTATTCAAAATTATTAGTACTAGTATTTATTTTCCTTTCTGCCCATTAATATTTAAGTTGTTGTCATGTCCTTAAAGGTATTCAAAATTATTAGTACTACTATTTATTTTCCTTTCTGCCCATTAATATTTAAGTCCCGTCTATCTGACTATTGTATATGTGAGTGACAATTAATGTAGTTACTCTGCAATTGGCTGAGGGAATTCAACTAAGCGTGGAGCTAGATGTGGACTATAGCTACTCCGCTAAAATCAATTTGGGAGTCGTTTTCGACTTTTTCACATTGAGAGATGTGGCTTTTGCTTAAGGTGGTTATAATGTGATGTAGGAGATTCAAGCTACAATTCTTTCAATGACAGTAGCCTTCCAAAGGACCCATGTGGAGGGGGTGTCGTAGTTGTTTACTCAGAAGTTTAAGGTAGTCAGAATGTTGCTTGACTTGAGCTTCTGTTCATCCTTCTAATCAAGTTGCTTTGCACAAGTTCTACTTCTGAAATTATATGTGCAATCACTTTATTATTACTGAAAAATTGGTATAATATGTATACTTATATAATCTATAAATTATGTTGTAAAATTAAAAACAATTGAAGTTGAAGGGTGTGTTTGGTATGAAGGAAAATGTTTTCCTGGAAAACAAGTTGATTTTTGACTTATTTTCTCATGTTTGGTTGGTGACTAAAAAATATTTTTCAGAAAAGATTTTTAGTGTTTGATTTATGAATGAAAAATGTTTTTGAGAAATATTTTTTATTTTTACTAGAGTAGAAAATAATTTTTAAAAATAAACTTAAATTTTTTTGGGGGGTGGGGGCTGGTA